CTGCATGTATGACTGCATGCCAGAAGAGGGTGTCAGATCCCACTATAGATGGTTGTGAGCCACCATGTAATTGCTGGGAATTGAACTCAGGACTTCTGGAAGATCAACCAGCCAATGCTCTTTTGTTTGTTTGTTTTGTTTTTCAAGACAGGGTTTCTCTGTGGCTTTGGAGGCTGTCCTGGAACTAGCTCTTGTAGACCAGGCTGGTCTCCCGAACTCACAGAGATCCACCTGCCTCTGCCTCCTGAGTGCTGCGACTAAAGGTGTGTGCCACCACTGCCCAGCCAGTGCTCTTAACCTCTGAGCTATCTCTCCAGCCCGCAAGAGAGATCCTTTCTTTGGCTTTTGCTTCCAAAAGAGTTGTTTCTACTGAGGGATGATTCACACAACACATTTAGACGTTTCTTTTAATGCAGTCTGTCTGTGGGTATCAAAATGGGAAATATAGGCCATTGACTGGGGGTGAAGGAAGGCACATGCTGCCAAGCCTGATGTCCTGAGTTCAATTCCTGGGACCTACATTGTGGAACCAAGTCCTAAAAGTCACTCTGTGACTGATCTCCACACGTGTCCACACACTCAAGCAAGCATGTGTGCACACAAGTCTGGCACATGGGATCCCTGTGTGTTGATCATGCCTGTGATCCCGGTTTGGGAGGCTGAGGTTGGAGGGTTGTGAATTTGAGACCAGCCTGTACTATATAGTAAGACCATGTCAAAATGAAAAGGAAAAAACGTAAACTTGGAGAATAGTACAACTTTACAGAGGACTAGATGAGCAGAGATGTGGGCCCATAGAAAGAGAAAACTGGCCTTTCCTCTAGCGTGATTTAAACAGCATAGAACATTTGGAGGTGGTGCTTAAAGCCGTCAAAGACACAAGTCTTGGGCAAATCTGCACTACCATAAGGCAGCCCCACCCCTCCGAGTCTCCTCTACTTAAGTAAAGCTTAAGTCTTTCCTTTTTCAAAGTGTGTTATCCACTCTTCTGGTCCAGGCAAACCCTAGATTTGCACAATGACTTTTGAAGTTTGTTGAATAAGGCGGTCGCTCAAAATGAGGCTGTTTTCCCAGTGGGAAAGCGACAGTCCTACTGAAGAATTCATGATTGTTTTCACCTGAAGCCCAGCTGTGGCCTCTGCAGCCGCGCTATGGTGACTAACCACGGATGCTCATCTGTCTCCCACACAGTAGTTTATGCTGTCATTTAGTTTTTCAGCCCCGTTGGGGCAAAAATGAAGTGGTCCCACCCACAGGATCCATGGGACCCTTTGGGATGTAGCTGTCAGCAGCTTCATTCGCTTGGGCTTCTCTTTGTCCTTGACTGAGAGCCGCCCTTTCCTGCCACATGAAGGGAACCCGTGTGTTGAAGGCACAGTGCCCAGCACATCTGTGCCCCCAGACGTGTGGGAAATGAAGGGCTGCCCACCCTAAGTCCAGGTGGCAGCATTATTTGCAGGGTGGCAGGGATTTCTTGGGGTGTTAGACCTTTATCTCACTCTTCGGTTGCAGCTGGGTCACCATGTGACCGGGCTAAGCTTCCTGTTGCCACAGGTGACTGTTAGTTTGTGACAGTAAGCTCCCTGCAGGTGAGGAAATCTTTGTGACAGACTTACGATTCAGTGCGTTGCTATGTGCTGACCCAGACAGAGAGCGTGGCAATGAGAGAGAGCGATGAGGTCTTGGATCCTGTGACTCTTTCCCTGGTTGCCACAGAAAGGCAGGACTGAGATTTTTGAAAGTTATTTTCCCCCGGTTAATTATCTGGATTTTCTTTCTTTGTGCGCCCCCCCTTCTTTTAATGAGACTGATTAAGTTTGCCAAATCTGGAGCAACTAGAGAGGATTGTAAACCCATGTTACTCTTGAATTTAGTAACCTTTAGTTGAGTGGCAATGTATAATGTGAATATTCAAGAATTATTTCCCCTCAGCAGTTTCTTCGTCTGTTCTGTCATAGGAGGAAATATGAGAGACACTGAGGTAATGTGGTAGGCTTTGGAGATGGGGTTAGCTTTCCTAGACTCGAAAGTGCCCTTTCTTGTCTCTGTTGACAGGAAATGCCAACCTTTTAGTTGCCTTCAGTTTGGTTTTGAGCCTTTGTGTTTATAGACAAATGTAAAATTGGGCGGACCAAGAGTTGGGGTTTTTCCCTCTCCTATATATAGCAGTTTCTTAGTGGAGCATTAAAACAAAAATCTTTCACATCTCAGTCTAGAATGTTTACCTAAGACTTCCTCCATAAACATGACAATTTGTGTTTTCTAAATTCTGAAGACAAACCAGATACTAGATCAAGGCAGTTCTCAGCTTAACAAAAACCTGAAGTGTTTCATCCAGGCATAATAAAGGATGTGTCTGTAATTCCAGCACTTTAGGGTTGGATACACCAGGATCATCAGGGTCATCCTTGGCTACATAGCAAGGTTGAAACGAGCCTGGGCTCTATGAAACCCCATGCCTCAAAAACTGCAAACACCTTCACATATAACACATGCTGTTGGGCTGTTGTTATCAAAGAAAGGGAAAATACAAAAGCTGTTGTAAATCACAGTTGATTCATAGATGCTGGCATCTGTATCCCAAAAAATGGTTTCCCTCTCTAGATGCTTTTCCTTGCATACTTCACTTTTTTCTCTTCTCTTACGTATGTGTGATTACATGCATATGACAGTTGGAGGACACCACGGGAGTGGTTCTTTCCAGAACATGCTTGGTAGCTAGGTTCAGTGACAAGTGCCTTTCCCTTCTGAGTCATCTTGACACCCTGTTTTCCCACATTTTTTATTGGTGGTATAATATACTATTATGTTACAGGTAAACCCTCAACTATATTAAGTTGTCTTTTATCCCGAATCCTCGGTTGTCTGGTGAGTTCTGTTGGTAAACTGCCTAATAAGTCTATACAAGCTCTTCCTTTAGAACAGTAGTAGAAATGTTAATTAATTGCCTGGGTGAGCGCCTCAGATATGACCAATATAAACCACAGCACAATGTACTGCTGGCAGATGATGCGACTGTAAAACAAATGGTCTATAAATTGTGTTGTTCCTGTGCAAATCCTCAGCCCCGCCTGTACTTAGCATGGAGTTAGGGATGTGGTGGGTACATGAAGATAGGGTTAAAGATAGGGTTAATTCTCTGGCCCAGATGCTGTTCAGTTTCTGCCCCGTGAGAAGGCAGGTGGGCCTAGTGGATAGTGGAGTTCCTCATTCGCTTGCCAGTAATTTCACCGTTCCTTCGGGAGCTTTGTGGCAGAGATGAAAGAAGAAATGAGAAACATAAGAAGTTTGGTCAACAAACTTGACCCAATTGACTGTTTTAGACTACTCCATCCAGCAACACAGCAAAGCACATGTGGTTTAAAGAGAGCTCAGAGAATATTTGCAATGCAAAACAAGGGATGGAAGGAGAGATTTTAAGTCAAACCATATCTTGCTATTTGTATCAGCAGGCTCATGGATTGGCACATCCATACAACAGAATACTACTCGGTAAAAATTGATAGACTTCAACACTGTGCATGAAGTTAACCTTATGCTAATATGAATGGAGACAAACTCTTACTCGGGTTCCGTTTTGACTTCGGGATCCATATTGACACATGCTAACCAGCAATGTGAGCAGATGAGTGATGCTTAGGGTTGGTGGACATGGCTGGGAGGAAGGAGTAGAGTGTGTGACGTCAGGAGTGGTGGCGCACACACCTGCAATGCTGGTCAGGACTCGGAATGCTGAGGAGGAAGGGTGGCGAGTTCAAGGTCCACCTCGTCTCTGTGGCGAGACCCTGTTTCTAAGGGGAGGCATGAGGAAACCTTAAAAGGTGATGGATTCTCTCCATTGAATTCTGAGATTGCTGTGTAACGGCAGCATGTGTGAACGTGCAAACAGTCGGCCTGGCCTCATACTGTGCCCTGTGCTGGACCAGTAAGACGGCTGTATTGGTTTTTGGTTCTGTACATAACAACCGTGGGAAGTGTTAGAAATCTACCATATATTCCTCCTCTCTGTCATTTATCCATGGTTAATGATTGAACACAGTGTCTAATGAGGAGTGCAGTTGTACTGCATCGGTCTGAGCAGAGGAAGAGGAGAACTGAGTGCTAGCCGGTGCTTATCCCAGATCAGGTTCCCGAGCCAGGAGGTTTAAATGCGTGCCCTCTGGAGTGAGCCTAGGTTCTTTGTGTAGTCTGGCCCACCCTGCCCCCAGAATGTACTGTGGGCCCCTGCACTCCCCTACCCCCACTTAACCCTCATCTCTTCCTGGTAAAATTCTACCAATTCTTTTAGGCTCTGGTTCCCATGGTAGCTTGCTTTCTCTGGTTTTCAGCCAGAAGCATGGTGTCAGTGTTACGTACTTTAGGAGATACCAGACACATAGTTGTGTTCAGTGTCTCCCATGTGTGTTTACATACACGTCCTGCATGACTTGCCATTGGCACCTGGCGGGTACCTTGAAGGTTTGTGTGTTGGTTGTGACGGGGACACGGAAGGAATGGCAGCCAGTGAGCTTTCCCACTTTCTCCTATGCATGCGCGTCATACAATCTCAGCACTTTCATGCTTATTAAAATAGTGGCAGTTAACACCATTAAGGGACACAGTGACAAGAGACAAAGCAAGAGATACCCAATATTTACTTTGTTTCTTTTCAAGTCTGTCATATTGCCATGGTTAGAGTAGACAATTTACTGTCCTCATGATACAGTTTTTAACTAATATTAAAATTATATGGGGGGTTAATCCCAGCACTCGGGAGGCAGAGGCAGGCAGATCACTGTGAGTTCGAGACCAGCCTGGTCTACCGAGCGAGTTCCAGGACAGCCTCCAAAGCCACAGAGAAACCCTGTCTCGAAACCCCCCCCCCAAAATATATATATGGGGGGGCAATTCATCGTGTCATAGAAAGAACACTGTTAGAGAACTCATGGATCTGTTGATTTAAGATAAAGACTGACCTCTGGGTTTTCCACACCCTGATCACCTGTCATATTGTTTTCTAGGTCCGGACCCTATTTGTCAGTGGTCTGCCCCTGGACATCAAACCCCGGGAGCTCTACTTGCTCTTCAGACCATTCAAGGTACTTTATGAATGTTTTGTTGTGGCCTGGGGGAGTGAGGGGGTGGATATGTTGGAGCCAGTGCCTATAACAATCTTTTCTTTTTTTTAATATGCAAAACAAAGTTAACATCAGAGTTCTGACATACAGTCTCACTGGGATGCCAGTCTGACATTGTCCTTTGGTCCCAGCATTCTCTGTTCCATGTAGATCAACTTTAGTAACCTTCAGCTAGAGGCACACCCCTAAGTGCAGAGCATAAGAGTTCTAGAGTGGGTCAGGGAATATGCTAGTTGTCTGCTAGAACACTTACCTAGTGTGTATAAGGCCCTGGGTTTGATCCCCCCCAGCATCACACCCTCCCCCCAAATGGTATAAATAACTTACCATATTTATAGTTGAAATGCAGCAATATGATTTGGGCCCTGTTGGTACCTTTATTGACTGGAATAGCACTTTTAGTTCTGTATGGATGTAAATAAGCATTGTGATTAAAAACCCTGTGCTTCTTTTACACCAAACTCATAAATGTTCAACAAAACAAAATATTGTAGGCTAACTTTGTATGAACTGAAGGGTTCAATGACCTGTCTAGTGGAGTTCACCGTTGTTCCTGTGGAAATTCAGTCACTTTAGAGATACAAATGTTGCTGGATTGAAACTTTTAACAGTTGAGCTTAACCTTAAAGTTGGCTAAAACTGACATAACTATACTGTCAAGAAGAAACCTTGAGGATTGGCCTTTGGAAGCTATAATGAGACCTGAAAGGTATCATGGATTTAGGACCTGTGGGTTAAGGGAGATTTTTGTTAGCAGTAGGAAGATTAGTGAACCCTGGTAGAGACGGTTAAGAGATGGGGATTTCTGATCCAAGACTAACCTGCTTGAAGACAATTGAGAGACAGGATTCAGCTTGATAGAGATGTGGTAATGGAAGACTCCAGGGTTGGGAAGGAGAAAGGGTCAGGGAACAGCTAGATGCAATTCCCAAAGATGCTGGTATAGTTGACGTGCCGGGAAGGCACGTGTGAGTATGGAAAGATGGCACCAGTGGCAATGACCGCAGAGGGAAACCGTTTGATTTCTCTCTGTGACCTCAACACCGTATGACCCAGCTAGTGAAATAGCATTTACCTTTGCATCTGAGGCCTTCCAAGTTTTAAATCTCTGGGATTTCTAAGAGAAAGTGCCCCTTGTAGCGTAAGAAGAGTCAGTGCTGAAGGCCTTGGATGGAAATGTTTATATTAGCAAGTTGGTAACTCAGTTTTCTACTGGGAAAAGTTGAGGATGAACCAGGCCCTGCACCCTGCCCAGAAACTCCAGTGCTAGGACTTTGGAACATCCCTAGGAACCCTCCTTTAGTTTCAGCCCGGGGCAGCTGGCTCTGGTCTGCAGACCTGTCCCCGTATTGATACGTTTAGCAGTTGTTCATGTCATTTGGTGTATTTCCTTCCCCTTGTGTCAACTGTCAGTGCTTGCTACCAGCTATTGCTATTTCCATAAATAAACTAGAGAGAGACAGGAATGTCTTCAACTCCTGCTGATGAGCTGGAATAGAAAGACAGGGGAGTGTTTCATGTTCTTAGCAGATTCCACCATGGAAATGGCCTCTTGAGTAAGCAAGCAGAGATCAGCAGAATGCTGCATGTCTCTCCTGCTAGCCCTTCCTGGTAGTTCATATGGCTACCTGTTCTGTTTTGTTTTGTTTTGCAATATTGGGGGCTAAATCCAAGGCTTTTGTGTATGCTGGGCCACCCTGTGTGTCTTATGTCTGTGTCTACGTGTGTCCACAGCCAACATTGGAGGCATTGAAAAGTGCAACATAGTTCTTGTCTTAAGTGACTCACTTTACTTGAGGAAGATGGATTTGTAATGTTCTCTTCCTCCCTTCTAAACTTGGTCTTCATTTTTTCAGGGCTATGAAGGTTCTCTTATAAAGCTCACATCTAAACAGGTAAGAATTTAGAACTCCTAAAAATGATCGCCTTTTGCGAATAAAGCCTAAAAAATATTCTTTTGTTTCAGCTGGGATTTGACCTGTGTGTTGAAGGTGAAATTGATTGGGAATTAGTATAGGAAAATGGTGCATAATTCCACAGTCTCCAAATAAGTTTCTGAGATTCAGAAGGTACCAACATAGTGCCTCCAGGTAGAGTTATATTGAAACTAATTTGTTTCTTCTTGTATTATCCAGATTTTTAGTCTTAATTTTTTGAGGTTTATTGTTTCCTTTATAGATGTTTTGCCCTGCTCCTATGTCTCTTCACCCAATGTCAATAGAGGCCAGAAGAAGGCCTCAGGCCTCTATAACTAGAGTTACATACAGTTGTGAGCCATGAAGTTGGTGCTGAGATTCGAAGCCAGGTCTTCAGGAAGAGCAGTCAGTGTTCTTAACCGCTGAGCTACCTCTCCAGGTTTACTCCCAGTTATTGAGTCTCTTGATGGAATATTTGTAGATATATAATAAGGAATCACAAATTGAGGGGTAGAAAGTACAGTGCTAGAGATGGCCGTTGATGGCCTTGGGGTTCTTAGAGCTTCGTAGAGGTTGTCCAAACATTTCTTACCTTTGAAGCTGAACATTTCTGAGTCACAAACCTCTGCTGTATCAGAAATGAACTAAATTGCAGGCAGCCTACACATCGATCTGAAGGGAGGGACCCATTTCTTTGAACAGTGTCCTTCCATGCCAGAGTAATTTCCAACTGTTTTGAAAGGCACGGCTTTGGCTTATGATGGAAAGGTTTGTTTGGTAGTTTTGGTTGCGCAGTGAGAACACAGGGATTTTTTACCATTGTGTCATTATATTCCTTGCACTTACAGTGAACCAAAAGGTGATTCGGTTTCTCTTTGCATTTTAAAAGACGAAGAAGCTGAGGTACAGTGAATTTGATTTAGGAAATTAGAGTCTCTCCAACCCAGATTTTCCTCTGTCCCCTGGTCACTGCTGCTCACCTTCCAACACCTCTGATTTTTTTTCCTTTTTCTTTTTTCTTTTTTTTTAAAGTGATCTCTAAATTCTTGGCTGTGTCCTTGAAGAACTGCCCTCACCATTCCTTTGATTCACGTGAGAAATTTGGTTGAGCCACTAGGTCCTGATTCTTTGGGATTGGCTTTCTTATTTCTACCCATTGCCTGTGGTCATTTCTTTATCTTAGCTCCTCAGTTAGGCACCACCCTTGGCCTAGAAAAGAGATGCCCCTTGATTTTTGGTTTCTTTTTCTTGATGTTTCTCTCTCTCTCCCTCAGCCTGTAGGTTTTGTCAGTTTCGACAGTCGCTCAGAAGCAGAGGCTGCAAAGAACGCTTTGAACGTAAGTGCATTACTGTGATTGCAAGCTTGCATAGCTCTGATTGTGTGCATTTCCTTAGGTAATGGGAAATAGACTCCCGGTAAATCAAAAGTCACATGTCAGCGTTACTGGAGTTGTTAGTGTCAACACCTGGGCTGACAAGCTACACTGGCTTCTTGTCCCCCCGCATGCCATTAAAGAGATGAGTAATAGTGAGCCGGGCGGTGGTGGCGCACGCCTTTAATCCCAGCACTTGGGAGGCAGAGGCAGGCGGATCTCTGTGAGTTCGAGGCCGGGCTGGACCAATAGCCTCCAAAACAATACAGAGAAACACTGTCTCGTAAAAACAAAAAACAAAAAAACAAAAAAAAGAGAGAGAGATGAGTAATAGTGAAAGAGTCTTAGCCATGGTTCTGTTGCTGTGAAGAGACGATGACCACAGCAACTCTTAAAAAAGAAGGCATTTTTTGGGGGGAGGCTTCATTATCACTTTGGGGGGGACCATGGTGGCACACATACTGGAGCAGTAACTGAGCCGTATCGTGAACTGTAGCCAGCAGGTAGAAAGGCTGGGCCTGGCATGGGCTTTTGAAACATCACAACCCATCCCCCCAGCAACACACTTCCTCCAGCAAGTCCACCCCCCCCCCCCCGAGATTCCTTTCATAACCACCACACAGAAAAAGGTTTGTTCTCCGTAGCCGTACCAGGAAATGGAACAAATAAGGAGACCCAACAGTCCCCCACCAAACTCCCATCTTTGGAGTTCTGATGTGAGGTTCAGTTTTATGGAACAGCCTATAGGTGTGCACAGGTCACAAGTCCTGCTCAGGTTGGGGCCCGCCCAACTTCAGTGCCCTCGTTGTCTTGGTTCCTGGTTGGTGTTGCAAGCTGTCAGCAATCTATGCAATTTCTTTGAGGAATCCAGTCTCCTTTGCTGGCACAAGGAACCCGTCCTTTCTCAGTATGAGACTTTTGAGGGGAGTCTACTTCCTTGGGTCCTTTGTTTCAATAGTCTGATAGCTAAGGATTGCGGGGCAGTGCCTGCCTCGCTTTAGAATGTCTTTGTTGCTGGGCTGTAGCCTTGTTGCTTGCCTAGAATGCAGGAAGCCCTGGCATTGATCTCCAGCGGGGTGTAAAACCTCAGTATGAGCCAGGCAGTGGTGGCTCACGTCTTTAATCCCAGCACTTGGGAGGCAGAAGCAGGTGGATCTCTGTGAGTGAGTTCAAGGCCAGTCTGGTCTACAGAATTCCAGGATAGCCAGGGCTGTTACACAGAGAAATCCTGTCTCAAAACCAAAAAACAAATCCTGTCTCAAAACCAAAAAACAAACAAACAAAAACTCAGTATGGTGATGCATGCCTGTGATCCCAGAATTTAGGGGTAGAGACAAGAAGTTCAGAAGCTCAAAGTGACTTTGGGGATAGCTGGGCTGTATGATACTCTTGTCTCCAACCCCACCCATCTAAAACTTAATGGATATAGCCAATGGCCAGACATTTACCTAGCATGTGAAGGCCCTAGCTCCAGTCCTCCATACTACAAAAGAAAGAAAAAAAAATGAGTATTTCCACTCCTGCCAGGATGGTTACAGAGGAATTCGGTGCCCGAATCTAACGAAGGGGGAGGTCTCGTCAGTTCAGTGAGTTCTCTTGAGCTTTCTCCCTGGATCAAAACCAGACAAATTACTAAGTAACACTTTGCTTTTCTCTAGTAGCCTTACTGAAATGCTTGAAATAATATGTTCTGGGCTGAAAGGTAATTTGGGTCTGTCACATCTGTGGTGGCACACATCTGGACCTGTCTTCTGCATAGGAGCTGATACAGAGCCAGGCCACCGTTATGTTCCAAACAGCTAAGCCAAGAACAGATCAAAACCTTGGCTTTTCCTGCGTCATCTCATTTACCTTAAAGATCATACTTTTTATTCCGATCGATTAAAAATTTACACATAAAGCTTTCCCCGAGGACATTCTGCTTTATTAAGGTGTATTGAAGTGCAGTCAGTTGTAATGAGTGTTTGCTTTGTAGACATTTGTCTGCCATCTGTGTTTGGCTTGTGCCACATTCTTCTAGTTAGCATTCACCCCCTAAGGGGTGAAGACAGTGGGAAGTAGAAGGAGCTGAGTTAAGTTTCCGTCCACTGAGGATGGCCCTTGAGTTTCAGTAAAGAGTGGCTGCGGTGTGCCCCAGGCAGTTGGCAACTGAGTGAGTAGTGGTTACTGCAACTCAGATAAACCAGGCCTTTCCCAACAGGCAGGTGGCTGCTTGACCACCACAAGTGACATAGTATACTGGCTTCTGGAACTTGTCCAGCTGCTCCTTAATAGACCTTAAGTAAAGTTGTTGGCAGAGGCAGGAGGATCTCCGAGTTCCAGGGCAGCCTGGACTATATCGAGGGACACTGTCTCAAAAAAACAGAAAGAAAGAAAAATTGTAAGTTGGAGACTTGAAACTTACTCAGACTCCAGGGAACCTTCTGAACGATTAATCTGCATAATGGTGATGGAGTCTTCAGAGGGTTTTCTAATTTGAAACAAAATGTATATATCCTGTTTGTGCAGCACCACCTGAGGGCATTTTAGGATTATAGGCTCTCCTTGAGATTGTAGAATCTTCTTTCATTGAGTAAGTGAACTCTGTTCAGAATCTCTGGCCTTCTACAGGACAATGTGTAAAGTAGCTGTTTACTGAGTGTCAGCTTTACACTGCAAAACAGTAAATTATAGGATGTTGTATGTTATAATGTATTTTATGGAGTTCAGTGACAGAGGGCCTGTCTAGCATGTCGAAGGCCCTGACTCAGTGGCCAGCTCTACAAAATATATTTTATAATTTTGCATTGTATATTGACATAAGCAAATATTATCAATACCACCAAACTTTAGATGAAAACTATCAGTTCTGTTTAGGCTGTGTTTTCTTTTATCCTAACCATGCAGACGAATTTGTTCTTGTAAAGGGAGGAACTGCCAGTGCAGCTCCTGGTTTCGCCGTGCCTTATTTCTGGTGGTCCCGACTCTGGCCTGAGAACAGGAGGCTTTTGCAGTGACAGGGTCACTAAGCAGGCAGCGGGTAGTAGTAGTCGTCAAGCTGTGATCATCCCTTGCCACACAGAGTAGAACGCAGCAGACATCATTTCGGTGTGTGTTGCTCAAGGGTGTTCTGTTTCACTGCTTCGCTTTGGCTGTCCTGGAAATCGCTCTGTAGACCAGGCTGGCCTCGAACTCACAGAGATCCACCTGCCTCTGCCTCCCGAGTGCCGGGATTAAAGGTGTGTGCCACCACCACCCTTTCTTGATGTTCTTAACTTACATATGTGTCTTTAGAGCTTAAGTAGACCTTAGAAAGGTCTGCATCAGTAAAAGTAGGGGCACAGACCTGGGGGGCTTTAAATGATTAATGATAATGTGGAGACAGAATTAGGAGGTGACTCCAAGTCGGACCCTCCATCTTAGTCGTGTCTGTTCTATCCAGGCTTATTGCCACACTCTTTCTTGTGGCAGTTATAGACTCTCATTGTCCCAGACAAACAGCCATGATAAAAGTTGGTCTGTGACCGTGGAGCTACCTCTGTCTCTGTAGAGAAAATGGGCCCATCCATGGCAGTGTACGTGAATGTAAAGCTAAATGATGATCTTTCAGGGCAAAGACATGTTGGCCCTTTCCAGGGTCATCTTTTGTACTGATGACTTAAAAACATGCACTGTTCACAGCTATTGCAAAAACGTTCCTTGTGTCATTTGTGGAGGCTCTCTTCAAAGCGTTCCCTCAGATCCTTGGAGAATGGTTAAGTGGCGTAACATTTGGTTTGCTTCCACTGTTGAGAAATGTAAACCTTGATCCAGAAAGTGCCTTGTATAGAATGGTTGGCCGCCAGACGACACTTCCATGTTTGCAGCTTCCTTTGTTACTCTGACTTGGTTACTGCCTAATTCAGTAATTAGTGTCAGCCTTCCCTGACAGTGATCGTTAAATCCACTGACTTTCTGCCGCTTCCAGCCTGAGCATCAGTCAGTTGGACAATCTTTCAGAATAGTGTCCTCCAGTTATGGTGGCCATGAACTGTGGTCCAGGGTTGTAAAGGAGTATATTTTGCTTTTGTAGGAAAAGCCCCCAAATTAGGCTATGAACAACTCAAACCCGGCTTTCCCTCTTGGCCATTAGTCACGTGATTAGAACATCACAACAGCAGCCCTTTTTATACATTTGTCACTATGATCAGTTCTTTCCATGAAAATGGGTGAGAAAGCTGGCTAGGACCAAATTACTTGTAGGATTTGTTTGTGCCTTTGGTAGGTAAATAACGGAATAGTCTGAGGTTAGCCTGATTTGGTATAAATTCCATTTTTGTGGACATCTTTAGCAGAAGCACACAGGCTTAAGGGTGAAGCCCCCCCGAGCAGTATGGAATGCTGTTTCTGGGTCTGTTGAGTAACTGAGCACTTCACCATCCATTGCTGCGTAATAGGATTCTTATTTTAATAAATAATTAGGCACTTAGTACTTCTGAACAACTGGGTTAAGTAGGATCCCAGCCTAGGTTCCTTGCGGTGTTGGAAATGAGTGGCTTGAGAAGTCTTTATTTACAAGCTGTTAATTGGGTTTCTCTCCTCCCCTTGTCTTAAATGGTTTATAGAACTGGAAACGTCCAACAGAATCAAGTTTATAATATATTACTCCATCCTGTCTTTGCTCTTCACATTCAGTTAAGCTACTGAGGTAGTCTGTACTCCCAGAATGTACTCTTGATCACTGTGATCTCTGACAGTATAGTTTTTTTGTTTGTTTGTTTTGTTTTTGGTTTGATTTGTTTTTTGCTTTAAAAATAACTCCATTGGTATAATTCATCTACCATACATTTCAGTGTTGGTTTATTTTTCAAGACATGGTTTCTCTGTAACAACCCTGGCTGTCCTGGAACTAGCCCTGTAGACCCGGCTGGCCTCAAACTGGCAGAGATCAGCCTGGCTCTGCCTCCTGAGTGCTGGGATTAAAGGCGTACGCCACCACTGCCTAG